TGTCCGTTTCAAACTTTAACTCAAAAAACAAGTTGATAGACAGCATGGAGCCCTGGTAAAATTTAAGCAAGAGAACTTAGATAACTTTATTTTTCATACATGTGTTGACTCATGAGGAATAGATAAAAAAGCGGAAGATTTCCCTGGAATTGGGACATGTTTAGAGGGTCAAAGGATAAAAATGAGAGATGTTTAATTGTGTAAAACCAGGTGGAATTGTAACTTAATAAATTGAATTTCTCCACGTGACAAGAGGCGATCTGACCAGACGCACATTTATAGAATCAGTTGTCGGTGCAAGTTAAGTTAGTTGCCCACCTTAAATACCATAGCCTCAGGCGTATGCCTTATGGGACCGGTTGTATAAGCTTAGTTTAGCTTTCAGGTTATTATTTAGTCTACTTGTTTAATTTAAGTTTTAGTGTAGTTAAGTTTTCATTTAATTAGTTTTGCCAATTATAGCTTAGCTCAGTACATGGCAGTCATTTACGTTTACTTATCTTACATTGGCGGTGCCTAACTAATCTAAAATTTAAGTTAAATTAATAAACTAGGCTAGAACTAAAGTAAAGCTAATAAAACTAAAGTTACCAAAGGACTAGAGAATAGGGGTGTCTAAGGTGGTCGACCAACTTAACTTACAACCATTAGCCTGTTCGTGGCAGCCTTTAAATTTGATCAAAATGTTGTATATGTTGTCAGATAACAATCAACGAATACTGATGATAAGAACTTTTAAAAATAAAAAGCAACCGATCAGGATGTATTGTGATACTCCTATTAACCAGGGTACCATGGGTGCCATTTGGACCTAATTTGCTAACAAAATGCTCTGTTTTTTGTAAAACGGAAACGGCTTGTGGTGGTTTTGACAAACCAACAAAGCGCACTGACTTTTTGGGGGCAGAAAGTAAAAATCTGTATTGACTGTGATCATATTTATCATTCTACACTGCACTCGGGGAGTAAGCACTGAAGTAAAATATAAAGATAGTAGCTCAACTGGGGATGAAGGATATAAAAAAGAAGTCTGGATTTCTGGAGGATAATGCACCCATCTGTCGTGTTGTGCATACACCTTGGCACACTTCCATTTCAGGCACATGCTTCGGTGGAGAGGGCGGGACTTCTGAGTCTTTTGCGACTACGTTCGCTTCCCTGCAATGAGAAGTTCGAACTGGACGGGCAGACGCTGCAAAGCGCTGTGAAGGAAGACGTCGCAAACGGATTCATACCTTTTTATGTATGTTTATGCTTCATTCTAGAATGGTTTTCCGTTATACTCTCCTGTCCGGAAGCACATCCTTAATTATATGACTGAAACAATCCCGCCTAACACGTGTCTACTGAAGCAATTTTGGCAGAATCCTACTTTGGGTCCCAGGTCAGCACGCGAAAGCCCCATTCTTCTGAAACGCAGAACCGGGGTGTAATAAATCGTATTCAGTCTAAACAATACAAAGAAAAGGAAATATAAGCAAAAATATGGTTTATAGAAGTAAAAAACAGGAATAATTATTGAAATAATCTAAGGTTTGTCAAAAAAGTGCACCGTAATTGAAATGTGCAATTATGCAAATATTAAGAAATAACTAGATTAAAAGTATCCAACAACTTTAGAATTAACTAATTAAAATGTAAACTAAAGTAAGCTTAAACCACTTAGCTAAAATAATTAAAACAAAAATAAAGTCAGTAAACATAATAATGAACTGACAATAAAACTGAAAATTGAACTTGAATATATGAAATGGATCTGACACAGCAAATGGAGACTGGAATGGTCATTTCTGCCTTTTTAGCCGTCATCGGCCACTCATAGCCCACCCCAGAGGTTGGAACTCACGAGGTTTGAATCCGGGACATTTGGTCATTGAGGTCAATACTCTACAAAGGCCCCACGGGCTCCTTGCTTTGTCGGTTGACATGGGGAGTATGATGAAAATTCTACTTCAGTATACATATTAGTTAAACAAACCAAATAAAATAAACTAACTTAATGTTGTTGTGCATGTTAACTAGAGGTATACGCGGATTTTCGCGCCAAAAACTATATTAATCTAACTCCAGAACGGTAAGTTGGAGCTCAGGGAAGTGGAGGTTGACGACGTCCTAACCACTGATTTTTTAAAATAAGTAATAAGTGTCCGAATTTGTCACATCAAAAAAAATAAAGGTAGGTAAGTAATGTGAGTAAATTTCTGCGTTACTTGTGGCGCGCTCTTTTTTGCAAAAAAATTACATTATTTAAACAATTTCTGAGATCCCAAGTATGATTTCACGCCACCAATTAAGTCGCCAGGACAGTGGTTTGCTGACAGGCTGGCGGCTCCACGTGTCAGATTGCCGCACATGCCTGAGCTTGCCTTGAACATTTATTTCGGGTTTTTACCTATGCCGACGGGAGATTTTGATAATGCAACACGAAAAGAATTACCCCGTTTAGGTATAGATGACTTTCCAGTGCGAGTTAGTGTTAGGGTTATTGTTAGGTCTAGGGACCATCCCAGTATTGAGCGCATGTAAATATTGGATACAAAAAGGTACCTAGTTTTGTGTCTAACCAAGTTGATAAACATGTGCATCTTTTCTGCAAAAATAATCATTTTCTACGATTGAATAGTCGTATTAACAAACCATTGTTTTCAGTCATTCATCTTCAGGCCAGTACAATAATAAGGAGAATAAAAATGTCAGTTATGTGCGGTTGTTATATGGTCCTCCGAAACCACGCACGCCGACAATAATAACATCCATCCCGAGGACCATATAATTACT